GTCACAATTGCAAAAAAAGAAATGTATTTTGGCCGATTCAAGGAACACCACCATAAATCTAAAACAGGTTATTACCAGTTCGAGCCAGAGGCCGAGTATACACGCAAAAGTTTTGCGGTATTCTCGGAACAGATGACAGATAAACACGCAGGGAGGCCGGAATATCTGTCAGGGAACCCGCTCGCGGCGTGCGAGGCCTGAAATATGAGTGTGCTGCCCGAGGGTCATGGCTTCAACCAGCCTGGCTTGGGGTTGAGTGAAAAGTAATCCTGCGCCTCGTTCCGTTCTTGTCAAATAATCCCAGCGAGAACTGGCTAAATAACTAACCTGTCAAAATTTTAGCTCAGTAAGATATCATAGTTTTGGGAAAACTGTGAAAATGCATAAGATCCTCATTTTTCTCAGCAAGAATCTTAATATTGCGCAGCAAAGTTTCCACTAAAACCCTCCCTTTCAAAATGTTCAGTAACATATTACTTTGCACCATCTTGTAGTACGATCACCATTGACCTATCGCGGTAGAATTGCGGTAGAATTGCGTCAACGCGGCTTGTAAAATATTGTCCAATTTTTATGATATACGAATGGCCAGGAACATGCAAAATCTAAGACAAACAAAACTTAGTGTACAAAAACCAAGGGGCGTGGCTAACTCGCAAACAGCATAGGTCAATTTGTCACTCAGGAAAAATAATTGTCAATCACCGACATGCAAACTGAACTAAACTCAGTCAATTTGGGTATTTAAAAAGGCACCAGATTTTTTTTCTCACAAAGGTTTGGTCCTGACCATGATCAGGAAATTATGCGACATGTACTTCCTCTTTTCTAAAAAATGACAGCATACTAATTCACAGGATGTTTGTAAATGGTGTCCACTACCTTTACGGCCAAATTTCATAGCCTCACTTGTTAGAATACAGACAAAAATTACATATTGAAGGAACACTACAACTCACAGATCAAACATGCTTTTTGTGTATTTGTCAAAAAGCCAGCCTTTATGCGGCAAATTTTTGGGGGCAAATTTTGTCGGCTTGGCTTTTTCGTTAAAAGTTTGTGGTGAAATTCAGACAAATGTATGTGGTACAAAGGCATTCCCATAGAAGGAAAAGGAGCCGAGGTAGGTGAGAGTAATGCCGACAAGGAAAAATTGAGAGCATTATTTGTTTCTGTTGAGAACATGCACATGTTATCTCCTTGTATAAAAATTCTATATCATTGAAAGTAGGAGGCAGAATTTGCACCTTTGATTTTGCAACGAGCATTACCAAGATGCGTAGGTTCGGATTGGTTCACCAAAATCGTGATATTTGTTCAAATTTGGAAAATTTCATTCAACTACAGGGGAGGGATACTTTTTTCCCCCATCATCCCCATCTCATAAACTACTGCAAGCTTATTGAACTTTGAATTGTCTTTCCTCTTGTACCTTTATGAAGGTCTCGGTTAATACTGAGGCCACTCTGTCATGTGTCGGAGTTCATGCCGCTGCCACGCCTCAGCAACATCAAAGAACCTCTGACAATACCGACACTCGTACAGCTTCTTTCCCTTGTTGCTGACAAAGACATGCTTGGGGCGTGCCTTTCTGGGATGATGCCTACAACAGGACTGTTCTGATTGTCTCCCGATTTCACCGAGGTGCTGGATGTAATTCGTTGGCGTTGTTGCTGGGAGGCCTTCTTCGACACCAATGTCGTGGAGGGTTGCGTCGAGGTACCGGTGAATCTTTTGGTGGGTGGCGATGGCAGAGGCAGTGGAGGATGAGAAGACACAGTACTCGCACTTAAAGGCCAGTTGTAGTTGTGCAGTTTGAAGTGGCGGTTGGCATCTTTCTCGTTAGTGCTGGTGAAGGGGCAGAGGGAGCACAGGAAGGGGGTCCGAGTGCCTATGGTGTTGGTCCGCTCACTGTGGACCTGGACATTGTGTATCTGGAGACTGCTAGCATCAGGGAACTTGACATGACAGTAACGGCAGGTGATCAGAACATCACGCTCAGCAGCATGCTTGTTCTGGTGGCGCTGTAGGTGAACTGCTTGGGCCGTCTTGAAGTCGCAGCCTTCCTCCTCGCACTGGAAAAGGTTCTCCTCCTGATGTACCAGCATGTGGTGCTGCAGCTGACCGCTGCCCGTCACCAACCCACACTGGGGACACTGGCATGGCAGGCTGGCCTGCGCCTCGACGTGACCCTGCGCCATGTGCTGGTTCAGATCGCTGCGACGCTTGAACTTAAATGAGCAGACTGAGCATTCGTACATCTTCTCAATCTGTGCTGGTGCAACATCCTCCACAATAATGGAGTAAGATGGCTGATATCTTGTCCCAGGCTTTATCTCGCCACTGCTGAAATCATCCTGGACATATTGTAGATTCTTGCCACCGGGTATTCTGTTGTGAACCTTGATGCAGTGGCTGCGGAGGTCTTCTTGTTTTGCAACTCCCTTCCACAGATCTTGCAGATGACACGGTTGCTGGCTTCCGCAGTTTGCCAGTCCCCCCTTCTTCATCAGCTTGCGGTACCGGCACCTGAAGTTAGGGTTCTTGTGCTTCTCTGCATGCCGCCGGAGGTGATGTCGGTAGGCTGTGGCATATGTGCACAGCTTGCATTGGAAGGGCCTGTGCTGCCTGTGCACTGTCTGTACGTGACGGATCATGAGATGCCTCATGGGCGTGCGGTACGTGCAGGAGTTGCACTGCAAGGTCTGGTGGCGATGAAGCCTCCTGTGTTGCTCCAGGCGTTCCTGGTTAATGGTGGTGTACTGGCACATCGAGCACCTGAGCTTTTTAGGCCCCGAGCCACCATTGTGACAATGGCAATGTGGCTATCCCACTCTCCTTTAGTGGAGGCCCGGAAGTCCTTACACTGTGAACAAGCAAAGTACTCATCAGGAGAATCTGACTGTTGGTGAGGATTGTCCTCTGCTTGCTTATCCACTGAGAGAGTCTCAATATCCATGACAAATTTAGGTTTGGCTTTCCTCATAGTGGGATCTTCATGTTCTGAATATGTAGCAGTATGGTTTTTTAACCCGCTCTGGATGCAGGTTTGATGCAATCCACGATCTCTCCAACTGGTGTTGAGACTGTGCTTGTGGATCATAATTTAAAACATTTGAAGGACGAGTTGTATGTTCTGTTAGCCTTTCATCAAGAGAGACAGATGTTGACTCAGGTACTTTTCTCTGCAAAACTGCCTTCAAGTACGCTGACCAATTTGCCTGCCGTTCCTTCTTCTCTTTAGCCTCAGAATGCACATGAATATGGCTCTGTATGGCCTCAAAGGACTGTGAAGAGAATGAGCACTCATTGCAGGTGTAAGGCAGTTTGACAGAGTGGGCAGACTTGATGTGGTCATCCAACATCCTGAGAGACAGGAAGGAACTGGAACACACAGAGCACTTAAACTGGAAATACTGTTCATGACATTTCATGTGGTTTTGGTAAGCCTTTACTGTGTAGAAGTACCTAGGGCAGGCAAAACAGTTATAGGCATTCTTTCTGTGTTTTGTACCATCAGATGAAGCCTGGGTGTTTTCAGGAGAGACTTCAAGACTTGGTGCGGGACTGGGTGATGAGCTTGGTGCGGGACTCTGTCTTTCATCTTCTAGTGCTCTCTTTTGTCCCTTGTCTTTGTGAACCCTTGAATGAGCAGCAAGACCAAACACGTTCTTCACTTTGAATGAGCAATCTGGGCAGCTGATCGACTTCTCGCTTTCTCGTACCTCCCCTTTGTGAACCTTGAATGAGCAGCAAGACCAAACACGTTCTTTACTTTGAAGGAGCAATGCGGGCAGCTGATCAACTTCTCGCCATCTGGTGCCTCCTTGGGTAGTTTCTCCTCCCTCTTCTCTGAGTGAAACTGCTGATGGTCCATCAGAGATTGGATACATTTGGCCTGAAATGGACACTGAGAGCAGCGGAATGGCTCACCTGGTTGCCTCTTGGCATTGTCCTGACGGTGCTGGACCAGCTTACTGTGTCTTGAGAAGCTCTCATCACCACTGTCGCATGCCAAAACCTCCTGGTCATCATCATGTCTCAGAAACGCATCGATGGCGATGAGTTCATCTTCATTGTGCAGATGACACTGGAAGCCAGATGAAACTTTACAAATAGGGCATCCAATTTTGGACTTGTTCCGAAAGCGTGGGTTGGGAGCAGGCATTGCATCTTCCCTCCTAGTGCTGGCTACTTGCGGCACATCCTCCATTCCAATAGTTGACTGCAAATGTTTTTCTAGGTAATGACGAAGGATGTTTTTGTGGCAGTAGGCAATCTTCTGACATCCCTTACACTCATAGACAAGTCTGTGTGAATCAGCATCAATCTCCAAGATTATTGACTTCCGTAAAATCCCAATTATGTTCTGCATTTGAGCTTGTTGATGTTTCATTAGGGCGCGCTTGAGGCTGCCTTTTGGTTGCAACCATTTACCAGCTTTCCCTTTGAGACGTCTCTTTTTGGACTTAGGGCCGGTTAGAAAGACCTTGATACCCTCTTAAGAAGCGCATTGCTTTGACTGCTGGACGTGAATTGGGTCTTTCGTTGGGACGCCATGTACAGAAGAGAACTTTGGGAAGCTTTAAAACCACTACTGTGGTTTTCACCATCCAAGGACGGGCTTTCTTCCATGACTTTCTTTCGCGAGCCTCCATGGACCTTGAGATGACCACACAGCTGTCTAGCAAGAGTGAAAGAGGCTGGACAAAATTGGCAGGGATACCTTTTGTGAATACTCATGTGTCCAGCCACCTGATATTGATTTTTGAAGGATCTGTCACACACCCGACACTTGAAGACTTTCTCTTTGGGAGCTTCAACATCTGGGATTGCTTTTTCTTCTTCGCTGATTTTTCTCTCTTCTCTTTCCACCTTGGGTTTCTGAGTTTCTACGCCTTCAGCAGACGTATTCCCACGTTGTGCTGGGAGCTTCTTATAATAGGAATGGTCACTGTCTTGCAGTGACATGGTCCTCTTAAATCGGCGGCGGCGCCTTTTGCCATGAAGCTTCATGTGGAGTTGTCGCTGTTTTGGACTTAGTGAAGGACTTGCCACAGAGCTCGCATGTGAATGGCTTCAGAAGGAAAGGCTTGCCCTTGGTCATTGGATGGGTGACCAAGATATGATTTCTCAACTGCGCGACATTCTGGAATGTTTCAGGACAGAATTTGCAAGTAAACTTGCCAGCAAGTTTTTTGGAGCCTCCTGCAGAGGTGGAATCTGTTACTTTTGGTTCCAAGACCTTCGGTTTACTCTGTGATGACTCCTTGCAGTTGCTCTCCTGTGATGCCATGTTGTATTTCCTGAACTGTGTTGTCTTGTGCGCAATGTGCGCGCCTCTGTGGCCACAAAACTTCTTGTAATTGTAAAATAATGCATGGCAGATGGGACACTTGTGAACTTTACGACCTTTGCCTTTTGCACCATCTGTACTGCCGTTGTTGTCCTTGTACAACTTACTTCCTCTCATGTGGATTCTTTTGTGGGCATTGAGCTGGTTAATACGGGTGTAGGTTTTCTCACAATGGGGACAACTTAAAGGCTTCTTTTCTCCATCATTCCTCTTGGAATGTGCCAGGGTCTGATGGTTTTGACTTAGATCAGTTGGATGTGCCTCTGAACTTGCATCCACTTCACTTTTGCGAGTTGTAGAGCGCAAAGTGATTGCCTTGTCCTGTGATAGTTTGTCAGTATCTGCATCAGATGCTGCCTTTCTCACCTCCTCACCAGCACTGCCCGAGACTGCCGTTGATTGGTCACCAATCTCTGAGTCTGGATCAAGTTGCTGTGAAGGTTTTTCTTTGATTTGAGAAAGAGAGGCACCACTTTGGAGATTTGGTGCCATTTGGGCATCACAGATACTCTGTCTCACTTGCTGATTCACACTGATCACTTCTGCTACTGGATCACAGAATCTGTGGAGTTTGCTGGGAGATCGTGGCACTCTTCTCTTGTAACTCATCTCCCTTCATCAGCAAGCTGCTGGATGAGTTACCCGTGTCATGTTCCGCGTCTTTCAGTACTGTAAATTCCACTGGTTCATCTGCAGAAGCCTCCACAGTGCTGTCTGAGTTGTCTTGACTGCTCTTAGATCCTGCCCCATATCTTCTGTGATTTACCATGTGACCACGGAGTTGGGCTTTCTTGGGAAATGACTTGTTACAGATGTCACAGGCGAATCGTGGCATATTTCTAGGGAAGCCCCATTTTTCACCCTCTTCATATGGCGATTCAGTTGGTCCTGCTTCCCTGCCAGTATCTTCCAACAGGGAGCTTGACTCATCACCTACTCTGGAAGGGTGGAGATTCCCCCATCAGACACCTGCATAGGTTCTTCACTTGGTTTGTAATATTCTGGGTCATTGCTTCAAAGATACTTGGTCTTGTTGCCGGACTCGCTTTTTGAAGTACAGCAGAATCATCACAATCTGCAATGTCTTTAGTCAGCTCAGCATCTTTTGGCTCGTCTACTGATGCATTGTTTGTTTGCGGAAGGCCCCCAAGAGTCTCCTGCGGTGATGCGTTACTCTGATCTGCCTCTTGTGACACATCTGAATTAACAGTAACTGTGACTTCCTGGTAACCTGATCAGACTCCTTCTGTGCTGGAAGTTCACTGGTGTGTGATTTGTCCCGTCTTATTCTCTGCAAAAACTGCATCAGATGAACTTGTTTTTGCCTCCTGAGATGCATTCATTCCGACAACACCACCAAGTGAAGCATCATAAGCTGTAGAATGATCGGTAGATTTGCTGTCTTCCTTCACTGTGGGTACCTCACAACTCTTTAAGAGCTTGACGTCACATGTGAGTGGTTTTGTTTCCTCACTTGAGTCCACTGCAACTGAATCTGAATCATCAACAGCCACAGGCTCAGCCGTCTGACCTAATGCCGGTACTTGGTTTGTTGTATCCTCATCGTCACTGGCTAACTGCAGCTTTACTTTTATTTCATCATCCTGTTGCTGTTCAGGTTCTTCCAATGTTTTTGATTGTCCTATCTCATTCTCTTGGGACTTTGTCTCCAAGGTGCACGGTTTTTGAGCCTTGACTGCTGTCCTCTTGAACTGCACGCGAGTCATCAATTGCTGCAGAGTGAGGCTCAGAAAAGTCACTATCTGGTGCTTTGCAGCTCTGCACATTGTCACCATCTGCAGAGTCCTCAAGCAGTTTAACATCCTGTTTCTGTACTGAGGACGTTTCTAGCCAGCTTGTTTCACCATCTGAGTAGGAAGCTCAGCTGTTTTATGTATTGTGGGCATTCTTGTATCCTCTAGCATCAGACTGAAACTGCTACCGTGTGCAGGATTTGCACCTGGGTCATTACCCTCCCTTAGGGTAGATTCATTGCTGATATGTGGATGCACCTCACAGCTCAATATGGGAGGCGCATCATGTATACTTTGTCTACTTTCCTGACTTTCCGTATCCATCATAGCAGTGGACTCCTCATCTGGATCTGCATTACTGATCACCAAGGGTGGTGCGTCAGATATAATTGGACTGGTTTCTTGACTTTCAGCGACAACCATAGCAAAGGAATCTTCGTCTGGGAGTTTGACCCTGCTCACTAACAATGGTGCATCATGCCTACTTGGTCGGTTTTCTGACTTCCAGTGTCCATTACTGTACCAGACTTCTCACTCAGCTGCATGTTACAGCTCACTGAGGATGATACATCTAGTTTCGGAGGTGTGTTTTGCAGACTGTCAGTAACCATTAAAAACAGTGGTTCATCAACTATACTTTCCTGACTTCCAGTTTCCATTTTAGCGCAAGAATCTTCCTCACGCTTTTGAGGATCAGAAAGTTGATCATCTTGTTGTTCCTTTGTCAGAACTTGACTTGTTTCCAAGTTTTTGTTATCGCTTGATGAACTCTTGCAGGAGTAAGCATCTGTCAGACTCGAACCGTCTTCAGGCGTGGTCTCTTCCACTGCTATACTCAAATCATCAGTAATAGCTGTTTGGACAGTCACGCGAGTGCTTTCCTTCTGCACTGATTCCTCATGCTCTTCATTCACTGTAGGACTTGCTTCACTTTCTTCAATTGAAATTGGTGTAGCACCTTGGTCTTTATTCCCAATCAGTGCAGAGAATTGTCACAATCCGTGCTCTGCGTAGAGGAATCAGCCATGTGTTTCTGTAGGGACTGATCATCAACCAGAGAGTGTGCTCCACAATTCTCAGATGGCTGTTTATTGGGTGTGCTTGGTCGTGCTTCTTGACACATTCCAACCATCACAACATTTGTACTATCACAAGGCATCACTTGAATTGTTGGACTTCTGCTTTGGCTCTTTCTTTTCATCCTCTGTGACAATTTCTGCTGGTGACTTTAGCGTTGCTGAGTAGCAGATGTTCTCCACAGTGGAAACTGTACCTTGGTGACCAAGGAGTTTTTAGCCAGTTTGCCCTCTCGGTTCCTTCCATAGTCTCATTTAAACTCGCATCATTATTTGTGTCAACCAGCATTGGCTTGTCTCTTGCCATCTTTCGAGTCCACACAGCCTGCTTCAAGCCGTTTCTCACCTGATTCATCACAAGTCTGTGAGAAATCCTCATCAGATGAATTTTGTTTCCCTGCATTTTCCATCTCAGCACTTGCATATCTGCAAACTGTGGAGGTAACGACAGGATCATGTACTTTTCCTCAGTTGATTTATCATTGGCCTGTGGGGATTGTTCATCAGTCACACTTTTTCTTCAAAGTCTGACTTGTGTCCTCAACTGCAAGACTGGAATCTTGTTAACCTCAGAGTTTCTTAGTTACTTCACCAACCTCTTCTTCTGCAAGGTTTTCACCTGTCTGTGGGCTGGCTTTATCGATCACTAAGGGTTGATCATCAGCTGCATTGGTGACGTTGACCGACTCACGTCTGTCTCATCACTTGAATCATCACCACTTACTTCAATTTCCTTCAGTTTTTGTGCTGGATCTTCGCTGATTTTAGAATGTCCGGCGCTGTCCGAAGGGCTGTCTGAGGATGACCTGGAGTTGGAGCCTGTCAAGTTGGAATGCACAGCCATGTGTCTTGCAACTGCTGACTCGATTTGAAGTACGAGCGACAGTTTCTGCAAAGAATTTGAACAAGCCTTCTGTCTTACGTCTGGTAGACCGTCCCTTCTTTTTATTGCTAGGGGCATCGGCATCAGAAGCGTCCTTGTTTTTCTTCTCTTTGCAAGCTCTCTGAGCAAGGGTCCTTTTCTTGACAGCATCCGACTCATCCAAAGAATATCTGACCAGTAACCTCCGAGGTGTTGCATGCTGCTTAGTGTGATCATGTAGTTCCCCAAAAGAGCTGCAAATCTTGTTGCATGTGTTTGCAAATATATGTATTCTTTGATGTGCTGCCAGTTTCCATTAGGGACACTGGGGCTCATCTGACCCCTTCTGGACTTTAGCATGCCAAGCTTTGTGACTTTTTAGCTGCCTTTGGGAGTGAAATGCGCTGCCACATAGAGAACAAGCATGAGAACGAGACTCCAAATCTGGATTATGACTAGCAATCATTTGCACTTCTCCTGTTTCTTCCTTAACCCTTAGACTGGAGCAAGTTGATACACGATTTAAGCCTGGTGGAAGCTGTTCTGTTCCATGCTTCTTTAAATGGAACAACAAATTCACTTGTCTGGCAAATGACTTTTTGCAGTAGGCACAGACAAACAAGGTCTTCCTCTGTACATCCCCAGAAGCTTTTGAGAACATATTGGTCTCGTCATCATCAATTTTCTTCTGGTTGTGAATCCTCCTGTGGTCCCAAAGCTTAGTCTCTGTTGGGAAGCTCCACTGGCACATGTCACAGGTGAATGACATAAGCTTCACGGTCTCAAGGAAGGGAGTGTCAAGGGATTTCATGCGTTTTTTGTTGGCTGGATGGGACCTGTTGTGGCATTCACTGTGGATCTGCATCTGGGCCAGCTTGGGGAAGGTCTTATGACAGACACCACACTTGTACTCAACATCCACAGGCTCCGGTGCTGGGGGTGGCTCACAGACGGTGGGTCAGCTTGGGGAGTGGCTATTGTTGCCAGGGCAGGTGGTACACTTTTATTGGTCCGACGCTTCCTTACATGGCTGCCCATGTGGCCTTGCATTTGAGGTAATCTTGGAAAGGTCTTGTGGCATATACCACACATATATTCATGGTCATCGTCCACTTGCTTGTCCCTACGGAGATCAGTTTGTCTAAGCTGGTTGAGCTATCCACTCGCTGGGCAAGCCTCCGACACAGGCTGTCTAGTGTTTGAAAAAGTGGAGGAGCCGTCTTCTTTTCTTTTTCTGCTTCTGTCTGTTGTTTGTAGCTCGTACCATCTGATGTTGATATAGGAATTGCTGTGTTGAACACAGAATTTGAGCATCGTTATCAAGTGAATGTTCATTCATGTCAGGGACAAGTGGATCCAATCTACCCAGAGGAGATCCATCGTCGAGAAGGCTTGGCTTACGTCCCAGCCAATATTCTCACTGGAGTCACAATTTGCTGCTGGGCAAGTCTTGATGGTCAAGTTGTGACTCTTGGGAACTTCCACGCTGGCAACTACCTTTCCAGACTCATCCATGACTTGAAACTTCTTCTTACTTACTTGGTCTGTGTTGACAAACAAGTCTTTGGCAACGCGCATCCACTTATGGTGGCATAATAGTCTGAAAAGTTACGAAACTGCCGTGGACACATCCTGCAGAACCACCTTGAGTTGTTAACAGAGTGCTGGCTTTTGTTGTACAAGGACCTAATGAAGTACTGATGGTGGAACTGAGGCCTCTTGCAGAGTGAAAATTCAGTGGGCAGAGCCGACAGACAAAGCTCAGTCTTGGTATACCCAAGCTGTTGAAGCGAATAACGC